TGGTCATGATAATCCTTCACTCTTTCCCTAACATACTCCAGACCCCTCACTGGCTCCCTTTCTTCGGCATCTTCGCCGACAAGCCCCAACCTTCTCAACAAAGGTGATGCCACAGGCTTGATATCGACCTCATTTCCCGGTCTGACAAAGTAGAACAGCCCCAGCCGATGAATATGCGCTTGATCCTCTGGTGGTCTGATTACTCTGTGGATAGTCGACTTGAAGTAGCCTGCAGACCAGAAGGACAAAGTATCACCAACATTACATATGATGCCGTTGGGAACAGGTGGAACGTACTTCCACTCTCCAGCCGGAGTTTTGAGTTGGAGACCTGCAACATCTTGACTCCAGAGTAGTGTCAAGCTTCCAAAATCAGTGTGCGCGCGAGACCAAGTATTCTGAACTTTGGCATCGTCGGCAGCGGGGCGTGGGTGGTACATCATGTAGCGTAGATGGTCTTCTGATGCGTCGTCATAGCGATGTTGATCTGAGAAGTAGGTCTCGGGTAGTTCCAGGATCAAAGAGAAGAGCGTGAAGATCTTGGATGCTATGTCCAGAGAGCGGCGCGAGAAGGACTCGATCTCTGGGCGAAAGGGGTGGAGGAAGTGTGGAAATGGCTCGTGGGAGTTTGAAGGGATGAATTTGGGTATGTTGAGGGATTCAACGTTATCGAGGACCGCGGTGCCCATGATTTTCTTCTCGTTGGCCTTGGCTTTGCGTTAGACAAGCGTAATTTGCTTTCTAATGGCATGGATATGAGGGGCGTACAGCGCGGTATCCAAAGTAGTTGCCCTTTGCGAAATCACATCGGTACTTTGGGTCGCCCTTCTCTTCTAACGGCAAGTCGAAATAAGCTTGACCGATATCATATTGACGCTCGATCTCTTCCTGCGTTAGACCAGTGCCAGTAACGCTGAAGAAGCCCGTGTGGTGCACCTTCGGCGTTGTCAGAAGGGACGTTTGTCGCACAGTTTAGCTGCCAACTCACTGCGTCTCTCAGCTCTTCAGCCAGTTTTTGTTTTCCATTAGGTTCGTCATACGTAGATAGATCAATGACCTTGATCTCTGCCCAGTCTAGCTTCTTCGTTGTTTGCTTGGGCCGTCCCCACTTTGGAATGGAAGGTGGCTGTCGCAGCGTCGCTGATGGCATGTTGCTGGCAGTAGTTTCAACTTACGAGACTTGGGCGACTTGGAGTCCTGTTTGACTTTTATACATTCTGCGACGTTATTCCCGGTTATTTCTAGTCCATCGCAACGGGTTGTGTCTCGCTGCATAGATGCGGAGGTGGCGAGCACGCAATACCCCGCTTGATGATGTGCTCGCATGACAGCATCGCATAACCCATGCTCTTCTTGCAATTACCACGTCGGTTTGTTCTTCTCAAACAAATGGGTGGTAAAGCATCGTTGCCAAGTCGTGCCGGCCCTGTCATCCGTTCTTGAACTGGCTATGGTCGGGCAATTTGACCGCCCCTTTTGCCGTCTTCTCCAACAATTTCGACAAAGTCTTGCCCATCCATCATCGCACCGCGCAGCCCATCCAAATCGGAATCTGGGATTTCAGCGTAGCTGTCCCAGATGATCTTTCCAAACTCATCGAACCACCATATTTTCACCCTGCTCTTCTCGATAGCTTCTTCGTCTGCCACATACACATAGTTCTGAACTCGGTTAGCCACTTCTCTGATATCGAACAGCTCTTGATCTGTGATGTTGCGATCTACATGACTCCCGTCCTCTTCCCTCTCGATTTGGTAGATGGCACTTCCATAAACAAGTTCACTACCATCTCCATACTCGTCCATTATACCCAAACCATCGGTCAGTCCGGGAATGCGAAGAAGAAGCTGATCCAGGACTTCCTGATCCAGTCCATGGAAGTCATAAAGCGCACAATCATCTAAAACATGGTTCAAACTTTCAACGCAGCCGTCCTCGATGTTAGCCCCAGAAAGTCGTGCGAGCTCAGCGTAGCTTTGGGCCATTGAGGGCTTGTAACATGTCCTTAACCAGACTGTGTTCCACCCTGAGTACCATCTGCTGATATTGTGTTCTTGGATGGTTTGATGCGGAGCAAATATCTCGTCGATTTGTTTTGTGGTGGGCGAAGGAAGAGATGCTGCACCAGGGACTTCGTCCAGTGCGCCCTGGACCCGCTTGTACAGAGGCTGGGTAGCGTCAATTTTGAGGCCAATGCAATCACGCCGTGGCATCGGGTGAGGCATGCCGCACCCATCTCTGCAGGAGGCTTGTACTGCGGTACCTCCTGGCTATTTCAATCCATCGCTGATGATGGTCGGCTGGCAGCGCAGGTCTGGTGCTTTCCCAATGTTCCTAAAGGCATGTTAATCACTTGTATCCCCATTCTGTTGTATTGAGTTGGCTTACTAGAGCGAACAGATCAAAAGGGGAGCGAACATGTCGTGTTTCGGCTTCCACCGACGCCATTATCTCTCAAAGAACCTAGGTAGAGGACACCGAGTCAAGCGAATCAGTCGCACTTTTCGCGAGTGAGTCAACAGCTTGTCATAGGAAACATCAGTGTGACTAAGGTAGGTTGCATCGATCTGACGCGCTCCTAGCACACCCAACGCGTGGACACCGCGTGTATTAGTCAGCAAGCTAGCGTACCATCCTGACAGCGCTGACACTGTCACCCAACTCTGAGAGCTCGTAAGGCAAGCATATCTTCGCCAGCGGCGTGGACGATAGTCGATCGTAGGGTAAAATGTCAGATGCACGATGCTTTTCATAGCAAAGCTTCCTGGCCTCGTCGTGTGGAGGCCTTATCGCCAAGATACCATCGGCACTTTCGCATCCTCCGATTCTGCGTTGAGTAAGAAGTACGAGACGTTGCGCATTCCTTGCGGCGGCGGAAGACACCTGACAGCCGATAACTTTCCAAGCTGTCCTTCATGCACAACTGCACGCCTGGAATCCAAACAACTACAAACTCAGTTCCATCCAATTGTAGAACGACCGAGAGATGGTACTAGCGGCGCCAAAGCCACCGATTCTCTTGGGAACCTGGTGATGTCATTAGTCGCGGCAGAATTTCGCCGTAGCGCGCAGGAACCCGATCTGCAAGTAGTAAGGACGGAGTTCCGACTCATGATTGTGTCTGTGTTCTAGTAGGCTGCACCCTGGGTGAATGCAGTGTTGAAGAGTCGGGATGCATGCAAAGGACCGAAAGAGAAAAGGAATGTGATGTATATAGAGTAGTCGGACGGACGTCCGATGCGCATATAATCACACTGCAGCTCTCCCCGTCTTGTATACATTTACCCGCAGCACCTTCCACACGTTCGTCTAGGCAGAATCTCAGTACCTCAGTTCCCACAACCCAAACCTACGGCTTTGTCGAACGTTGGGACTGCCTTCATGATGCCGTCCGCTACACAACCTCTCAATATCCTGATATCAGGATCCGGCATCGCCGGTCCTGTGACTGCGTACTGGCTGCATCGCTTCATGCCCACCTGCCAAATCACCATCGTAGAACGATCGCCGGAACCAAGATTAGGCGGGCAAGCCGTCGATCTTCGCTCATCAGCTCTGCCCATCGTAAAGACGATGGGGATCCTGGAAAAAGTGAAAGAGAAGACTACTACAGAAGTTGGCATGCAATTCGTGTACAGGGATGGGGAAAGGCGCGCAACGTTTGAGGCTACTGGAGAGGAGGAGAGACAAAGTGGTAAGACACCTAGCTTCCATGCACAGTAATCGATGAGAGGAAAAAGACGGCATTGTCAAAGCAACACAAGCACCTAAACTGACCTGATCATAGCAACAAGCGAGTACGAAATCCTAAGAGGAGATATGGCACGCATTGTCTACGAGCTCACACTATCCAACCCAAACATCAAATACGTCTTCGGCGAAATGGCCACAGAGGTCCAACAAGACGAATCCAAAGGCAGCAAAGCACTTGTCACTTTCGCAAACGGCAAGCTCCCACCTACTGAATTTGACGTCGTCATCGGCGCCGATGGCCAAATGTCGCGAACCCGGCGCATCGTGTTCGGCCACGGACCCAAGAACGACGACTATTTGCACCGTCTCGGTCAGTACTCTGCTCTCTTCACCATGCCTCGCGAACCCGTCGATACCCAGTATGCACAGTGGTACAACGCCTCGCGCGGCCGACTGTTCCTTCTACGACCTGACCAGTACGGCACCACGCGAGCGTACCTCGCCATCACCGATGGTGATCTTAGCCGCTTCGAAGAGATTGACAAGCTGTTGAAGAAAGGCACTAGGGAGGAACAGCAAGCGTGGTTCGAGAAGGAGTTCGAGGGTGCCGGATGGCAGACTGAGCGTTGTATACGCGAGATGAAGAGGGCGGATGACTTCTATATGCAGCAGATTGCACAGGTCAGGATGGATACTTGGCACAAAGGGTGTGTGGCCCTGGTGGGTGATGCGGCGTACTGCCCCAGTCCGATTTCTGGTGTCGTAAGTTCTCCTCAACCTTCGTTCTCATCATCGAACCTTCAGACTGATGTCAATACTAGGGTACTGGTGCAGCAATCGTAGGCGCATACGTTCTCGCAGGCGAGATCTCGCGCTCTCAAGATGACATCCCCACCGCGCTCACCAACTATGAACGCATTACACGCGAATATGTCGACAAGGCGCAGAAACTCATCCCCGGAGCCCCGCAAATCGCAAACCCACAGACGGAATGGGGAATCAAGGTCTTCAACACCGTGACCGGGACTTTGTCACATCCGTTCATCCAGAAGTTCAGTGGTGTGATTGGAAAGATCATCCCAGCATTTGGGTCATCAAAGATTTGGAGCCCGCCGGAGTATGGGTTGTGAGGAGTGTGGACGGATGATGTGTTGGAATTTCAGGATGGATTGATCTCGCGCGATATAATTCTGTGAAGAGCTTTTAATGCATTCATCAACTGTTAGCCTGGCGAACGTCCATCAAGCGAATATTCATGGCAGAATGAGTTATTTAGATCGAGGCCAGCACTGACGTTCTCGACTCGTCTACTCGGCAAGCAGGTCTACACCAACGCTTTTCAGCGCGTCGACCGCCCATACAGGATACTTATCCTTTTCCCTGTTGTACAGATCACCAAAGAAGTCCTTGACAAATTGTGGGTAGCGATCCTGCACGATGGCCTCCCTCGCTTCCCTCATCAAATTTAATTGGTAGTAGACGTTGTGCATGGTGAGAAGGTGGGCACCAGCAGTCTCTTTCGCGGTGACGTGGTATATGTAGGCTCGAGTGATACCCAGTCCGCCATCGGATGTCGGACGGCAGCAGGTGCATCGGCAACCTTCTTCGATTGCGCTAAAGTCTTCGGAGTACATGGCATTGCGTAGGTTGAGGGAGCCGCGGGATGTGATGGCGTTGCCGAATCGCTAAATATTGTGAGCATGGGTCTGTGATGAATAGGGAGAAGACCTTACGGCGGTTCGTGTTGGCCAGACACAGTCGAACATGTCGGCGCCGAGTGCGACGGAGACGACCAGATCTTCCGGATATCCCTAAGTTGGTTAGTAAGCTGTAATAATGCTGAGGGCATCCAAAACTTACGACGCCCATGACATATCGCGGCTTCTTCTCAGGAAGCAGGTCGGTACATGTCTTCACGACTTCGCAATAGGCTGCCTTCTCCTCACCGCCAGAGAGACCTCCTATCGCGATGCCTGGTGTATCTCGCGCAACCATCTCGGCGGTACATTCTTTCCGCATGTCCAGGTCCAGGCCACCTTGTATGATACAGAAAAGGTTCTGTCGGTCTGGGTACTTATGCGCTTGCATGCAGCGGTCAAGCCAGCGTACCGAGCGTTCCATGGCTTCCTTCATACGCGCGTGGTCGGGCGAGGTGGTTGCGATAACGTCGTCGAGTTGCATGATTATGTCGGAGCCGATTGAGTTCTGGAGGGAGATGGAGTGCTCGGGTGTGAGCAGCATGGGCGACCCATCGTGGGGGCTGAGGAAACGGACACCTTCTTCGGTGACTTTGGCGAGTTTGAGGAGCGATACCATCTGGAAACTGGTGTTGGCGTCAGTTATGGTGCGTTCGTTCATCACGTTGGAGGCATGACCCACCCACCACTATCTGCAGGAGTCAGCACTTCCGTCTTTCCATCCCTATACGCTGTGGCATGGTGCACCTGTGAGGATATTGTGTGGCCAGGACTGGAGCTTATGCGCGCCGCCTATGGCATCGAGTGTCGCTTGTCCTGGCTTAAGGCCTCTCCCACATGTCAGCAGTGGCTGGCATGGAGGCAGAACGTCGGCCGTACAGGTGATATGTGTTGTTTAGACATAGTCGGCAGCCCTGGTCTTCGAGTTGGTCGGGCGTGAGGCCTTTGAGCGAGGCCTGCGTCGCAACGGGCATGAAGATGGGGAGGGGTACAGGGCCATGAGGCAGATGCAGCGTTGCCGCGCGTGCTTTGGTGACCTGGGCTTGTCAGGGGATGACCAAGACACGAAACTGACACGATACATACCGAGCACTTTCCCAGCAGCTCAAAGGTGAGGGCCGAAGGCATTGAGACGGGCGCCATGATGCAATTGGAGACGCGACCTGCAGCCGATGAGTCGCTTCAGCTGCAGCCCGTAGTGTTGCGGCCCGTTCGCTTAGCGCGACTTCCCCGTGTTAATCGTCATGCAATCCCAGATCCAGTCTCGGGACCAGCCGAGCGCACCGGAACATAGTGAAGCAGTTGGTAGTGTTCAGAATCACCCCTGGACTTGTTCAGAGAACTCACGCGGTTGACATCAGCAGTGACTGTACGTTCATTCCTCCATAAATCTGTCAAGGCAGGCTAGACTACCCAGCTTTACATTGGAACAAGGGAAGGCCAGACTACAAATAACCAACTCTAGATGAACAACTTCGAGCCTTGATACTTCGTCTTCTCCCTGTACACAGTAGACTTGAGCGAAGCCTCAAGCTCTCGCTTCGGGAAACCTTTGAGAGATCGTGCGTACGTTGCGACAGAGTGCGAGATGAGCTTGGTGTTGACAACCCACGCAGTAACGTTGAGGTTTGAAATATCGTCGCAAAGCTGATGGTAGCAAGGATCATACCAGTCCCCAGCCTTGCCCCCAAACATCTCTACTTCCTTCTCCGTCTTGATACCCTCGGCTCCTGTAGCAATGCCACCACCGGGGATTCCGTTGCGAATGAAGCCGTCGTAATCGCTGCGGCCATCAAAGGGAATGAAAGTGTAGTTCAGACCTTGATCCTCGTACCACTTGATGTACAGATCCCGCAACTCTTCGGAGCCGTTCGGGTTCACCGCGTTTGTAGCATTGTAGATTTGGTAGGCGAAGTTGGGGCTGGTACAAGTTAGTCACATTACATGCGCCACGCGTACGGTGATTTCGCTTACCTAGCCATCATATCGTAATCCATGAAGAGGCGGATCTTCTGGTTCTCCTTCTCGGGCAGAGAGGCGACATAGTAGTTGGATCCGAGTAGGCCTTCCTCCTCACCCGCCCACCATGCAAACCTCACACAGTTGGTAACGTTGAACTTGGTAAGTTGAGTAGCAATTTCGAGCAGCGACATTGTGCCTGTTCCATCATCGTTGATACCAGGCCCTTCGGTGACACTGTCGGAATGGCCGCCGAGCATGACGCAGTTGTCCGGATCGCCAGCCGTTGTCTGCGCAATGATGTTGACCGTCAGAATGGTGTTCACTTCAGCGTCAATGTAGGCGATCGCATCCACGCGCTTTCCCTTTTCGAGCTTCTTCAAAATTGGTTCAGCTTCTTCACCGGACAACCCGAATGTAGCTACATGATCGGGAGACGGCGTTCCGAGGGTGCCCGAAACGCTGTCTTTCTCATAGTTGTAGACAATGGCAGCAGAAGCGCCTTTGCGACCTGCATGCTCGGATTTAGTACCAAAGGGGCAGACTCCACGTTTGATGAATGCGATGTTTCCGGCTACTGAGTCTGGGTAATCCGACGCCTGACAACCGTCATTCTCAACAAAAACGAGGTCGCCGTGTACAGGCTCTTTGTCCTTTGTGGGAGGCGTTAAGCCCATGGAATGGGCAGACTTCGGCACGACATCGCCAATGACAAGACGCGACTCAAAGACATTGCCGGACACAGCTGGGAAGGTTTGATTGGTGATTGTGTAGTAGTCGCCAAGTTGAAGGATAGTTTCATAGATGTAAGACAGCGTTCCGAGGTGGCCTGCGACTTCATCAGCATCAGCGTACAACAAATCACGTGCGCAAACGTACCAGCACTCCCGATGACTCTGGTGGGATGGTTGTATTCCTCTTCACCGAGCTTCGCAATCTCGTACATCTTCTTGGCGCGTGCCATCAATCTGTCCCCACTGATGAGGTCTTGGAGCTCGGTCGAGTTGACCAACGGTTTGGTCCCATGTGGATGTCCGAGTGGCGCTTGATTGCCGGACGACATAAGCGGGATCTGGAGCGCCGTCGCGCTTGTGATGGCTGCGCACAGCGCAAAACCAGAGGAGAAGACCATGTTGTGAGTTACGGAGATGGATGGGTTTGGAGACGAGATGGGATGGAAGAGGGTTGTTTGTGTGTTTATGGATGAGTCGCTGTTGCCATGCCGCTAACACGCGCCTCGCGATAAGGCCTGTCCCGTGCACAGTACCAGGTGACTGCTTTTGCTTGAGCATATGTCAAACACATGATGGCTTTTTGTATGTATTGAAGCCTTGTCAAGCTTTGCGATGTGCAGAGGGAAGATCAAGTCGTGAGGGCATAGTTGCGCATCCAGCCGGCGTTACCATGCTGTTGCTAGTCTCTCATCATATGCAAGGTACAATAGATGCGGACCGCCAGGAACCAATCAAGTCTAGATGAACAACAACTCCCCCATCGCATCATGGAATGTCTGCAGACTGATGTGTGTAAGTACATAGTTTCAACAGCAGTAGACGTTCGGTCCTCTCTAAATCGTCATCAGCAACTTGTCGGCCCTTCTCAACATTGCGATCGATGACGGTTCATGCGGTTGTCAGTAGCCAACGCGTTGGAACCAGCGCTTGTATTCCATGTAGCGCCATCGATGCGAATGACCTCTGGTAGCTCGAAGTGTGTCGGTGGCCATCAAATAGCTCGCATGTGCATTGCGGAGATCGAGACCCTTCCCCTTATTGCTGCTAAACCTGAGATGTGGAGTCTCGGCCCACGTCAATGTGCATGGAGCTGAAACCTTGTTCTGGACTCCGCATCGTAGTGCAGCCAAGGCGTGTCAAGCATTGCCAGGGACGTTGCGCGGTGCTTGGTGACGTGTTCTACTGAAGATAAGCTTAGCTAGACACTGAATTACCATGAATCGGTGCCAAAAAGAACCAATGAAGACCAATTGCCTGCGAACGGCGCGCGCTGCTGCAGAGTTACGGTGTAAACGCGCTGCGACATTTTCGTTGTTTGGCGATCATAGCGTCGAGGCTGTGTGTTGTGGACGCGCCCGCCCCGTTGCGAACTGCACCTCGTAAACAAGGAAGCAGGTAGTATACTACTCGTCCCGAAATGACGCCCGGCCCTTTTACAATGTCTAGTCCCACCGGCCCTCTTGTCTTTCTTTTTCACTTACTCTCTATCAACTCCTCTCCAATTACGGCATTACAAACTGCAACCGCTGCAGGGCAACTCGTTCGCCCGCCCTGAAACCCAAGCCAGTGCATTCAACTCTTGCACTTGGCGCACCCTAAAAACCACCCCTTGGGCAATCTTCGTATACCAAAGCCATGGCGCACCGCTCGAGAAGCTCGCGAGACTACCCCGACGGCTCAAGGCACCGCTCGTCGCGCGACCGAGGATATACCAGCGAGAAGCCACGCTCCGTCCCTCCCTCCGATCGCCGTGACAGGCGCGGCTCGTCTCTGCCACAGTACAACCACAATGGACACAAGGTGACCCCCGGCCTTCACCCCGAGGGCGAGAGTGGCCGCAGGGGTTTCAACCCGATCAAGTTCCTTGTCATCAGCGGCAGGAGTAGCAGCACGATGTCTATGCTAGTGAACTGCCTATGGCCCATTGTACCTGTAGCAATTGCACTGGTAAGCGGCACACAAGAGGATATGTTTCTTGTACTAACCGACTATAACAGCACTTTGCGAGGCCCGAATGGCATCTAGCGATCTTCATTACCAACTACATTGCCATGCTTCCTGCAGCCAACTTACTCGGTTTCGCTGGCCAGGAGTTCTCGCGCAAGATGCCAAACAAGGCCTTTGCTGTCGTTCTCGAGACAACATTCGGTTCCGTTGTCGAAGTTATTCTGTTCATGGTCTTGCTCAAAACCTCCAACGGCGACTCAAACGTGCAGGTTATCAAGGCTGCTATATTGGGGTCTATCTTGGCCAACCTGCTCCTCTGCCTTGGTACCTGGTAAGTGTCTGTTCGATGCTCGATCAAGCACTCACTAATTTGCTCCAGTTTCATTGCCGGTGGTGTCAAGCATGACGTCCAAGAGTTCCATAGTGCTGTCTCTGAGAACGGTAGTGGCTTGATGCTCGTAGCTGCTAGTAGGCCGATCCTCCTCTTGGCTCGTCAAAGTACCAATGCTAACCTTTATAGCCGCGCTCGTACTTCCCGCTGTCTTCTACGCATACCTCTTCCAAAACCCCGATTACGAACAGACTGTTGATATCGCCTATAACACTCGACTGATATCCCGCGGTGTCGCCATCATCTCCATCGTTGGCTACCTAGTTTACTTGTATTACCAGACCGTATCTCACGATGGGTTGCTCCATGAGATCTACGAGGCAGACGACCACAAGGACAAGGACCGCCACGAGGAATTGGCTAAGCCCAAGCTTACCCTGACCGAAGTGATTGTTGCTCTTCTCGTCTCACTGGCCTGCGTTGCACTCGTAGCTATCTTCCTCGTCCTCGAAATCCCGCATATAGTAGAGCGAGGAGTTAGTGACTCCTTCGTCGGACTTATCCTTATCCCGCTGGTTGAGAAGATCGCCGAGCACCTCCTCGCCATTGACGAAGCCTATGACAATCAGATCAACATGGCCCTTGCCCATGTTCTCGGTGCCTCTATCCAGACCGCCCTGTTCAACGCACCCCTTGTGGTACTGGTTGGTTGGGGTATTGGTGTCGGCATGGACTACAACTTCGCCATCTTCGACGCTGTTGCCCTGGTTCTGGCGGTCCTGGCGGTTGGCTCGTTCCTCCGCGACAGAAGCTCGAACTACCTGGAGGGTGTACTCTGCGTGATGACGTACGTCATCATTGCAGTATGTGCGTTCTACTTCCCCAACCCTGCACACCACGGTGCTTCCGGGGGCAGCGCTGAGGGTGGCGCTGAGGGTGGCCACTGAACGAAACGCTCAGATGGCCGTATCTGTAAAGCCACAGGGCTTACTTAAATTGATATTCACACAGCGGTGGTGTTGTGGAGTTTCGTTGCAAATGGGTTGCGAGGAGGATGGTCGGGTTTTCCTACATGTAGCAAGCATCTGTGATGCATTTTCTTGAGCAGTCTTCTTTTCCAGCAGTTTTAATTAGCGAGCGAGAGATACCAACATGACATACGAGATTGACACTGTTTATCTGCTGAGCAATGTTGGTGATGGCTGCTCCCATGTGCTGCGTTGGCGCCAAACCCTTTGTGACTAGAGTCCTGCGCACGGTCCTCCACACAGATTAGGCGAATAATCGCGCCTGCCCTCCCGACATTTCTACTCTCCAGCGACAATCCAACTAACCCGACAGCCACCGCCCCTTCCCACGACAACCTCTTCTCCCAGCTCACACAACAAGTCGCCAAAATGGGTCGCGTCCGAACTAAGACCGTCAAGAAGTCCGCCAAGGTCATCATTGAGCGTTACTACCCCAAGTTGTCGCTCGACTTCGAGACCAACAAGAGGATCTGTGATGAGATTGCCATCATTGCCTCCAAGAGGCTCCGAAACAAGATTGCCGGATACACCACTCACTTGTACGTGCCGACACTGGGGCTGCGACAATGGCAATGAGGGGCTGGTTCTGGAAGCTTGAGTGGCCTGCGCAGAGCAGCGTTGTGCAATGCCTATGCGCAGGCTCTTGGGCACTTCAGAGGATAGCTCTTCATCCGCCCGCACCGCAGCCACGCTATGAGCAGCGTGCTCTCTCGCACCAAACATCAAGCTAACAACTCGCAGGATGAAGCGTATCCAGCGTGGTCCCGTCCGTGGTATTTCCTTCAAGCTCCAAGAAGAGGAGCGTGAGCGAAAGGACCAGTACGTCCCCGAGATCTCCGCTCTCGACTTCACCCAGAACAGCGAGTCTGGCTCGCTCGACGTCGACCAGGAGACCAAGGACCTGCTCAAGAGCATGGGCGTACGTTACTCTATAACCATACCACCCCAAGCATCTCACTAACACTTCCGATAGTTCGACAGCA